GACTGTGGCAGCATCCCAGGGTCATGTGATCCCCTTCTGCGACCTTCTGACAAGCCAAGCCAATGGGAGAGCCAGATTCACTTAATGACTGTGTTAGTAACTGAACAACGGCGGGGATTCACTTAACGGCAGTGGCAAGAAAGGTCGTAAAATGGGACAAAGCTCACCTAACGAATGTTTCGCTTAGCAACATCAACATTGGGCTCAATTGAGGTTGTAAGTCAAGGACTACCTTTTAGCATTTTGTACTTAGGATATATAGCACTACAAGGAGAGGTTTATTAGCTGCTTCTAGAGGCATCTGGGAAGGAAGTGGGGGTCAAAAAAATCAAGGGGGAACTGCTGTCACCTTTCCTGGTTTGCAGTTTGCCCAATAGTGCCGTGACAAGGTGAGCATTTTTAAGGGCTGCCTAGTATGGCGATGCTCAGGAATCAGCCAGGTGAGAAATCTTGGTTTAGTGGCTGGACTTACCAAGGTAAGGAGTGTGAGTGGCACCGAAGAAGTAGGTCCTGGAACAAGCCAGGGGCCCCTTGGGAGAGACACACTGCACCACCTATTGTCGGTAAACACAGAATGGACTGGTCATTTAGGGCCTTCACATCAATCCATCTATCCATCCATCCATCCATCCATCATCCATCTAATCTTATCTATCATCTAGCTAATCTATCTTATCCATCTTATCTATCATCCTGTCTCTTTCTCCATCATCCCTCTAATCTATCTATCTATATCATCTTACTTTATCTATCTATCATCTATATCATTTATCTTATTCTATATCTATTTATCTATCTATCTACAGTATCTATCTATCATCTATTTATCTATCATCCATCTAATCTATCATCTATCAATCATCTATATCAATTATCTATCTATTTATCTATCTATTATCCATCTAATCGTATCTATCATCTAATCTATCTTATCTATTTATCTATTATCCATCTAATCTATCATCTGTCTATCAATCATCTATATCAACTATCTATTTATCGATCATCCATCTAATCTTATCTATCTTCTAGCTAATCTAATTATCGATCATCCATCTATCATATATCTTATTTTATCTATCATCTAATCTATCATCCATCTATTATCTATCTTATCTATTATCTCTTTTCTATCTATCTATCTATCTACCTACCTACCTACCTACCTACCTACCTATCTCATTTTCTCTCCATCATCCCTCTAATCTATCGTCTATCTAATCTATATCATCTCTTGTTCTGTCTATCATCTATCTATCTATCTATCTATCTATCTATCTATCATCTACATCATTTATCTTATTCTATCTATCATCTATTTATCTACAGTATCTATTTATCTATCATCCATCTAATCTATTATCTATCTATCAATCATCTATATCAACTATCTATTTATCTATCTATCAACCATCTAATCTACCAGCTAGCTAATCTATCTTATCTATTTATCTATCATCCATTATCTATCTTATCTCTTATCTCCTATCTATCTATCATCTATGTATCTATCTATCATCTATCTATCTATCTATCTATCTATCTATCTATCTATCTATCTATC